GTGAGGTCGGTGGGGACTGTGGCCGTCGGGGGGCTCGTGCGGTCGGTGGGGGCCGTGGCCGTCGGGGGGCTCGTGAGGTCGGTGGGGGCCGTGGCTGTCGGGGACTCGTGAGGTCGGTGGGGGCCGTGGCCGTCGGGGGCTCATGAGGTCGGTGGGGACTGTGGCCGTCGGGGGATCGTGCGGTCGGTGGGGGCCGTGGCCGTCGGGGGCTTGTGAGGTCAGTGGGGGCCGTGGCCATCGTGCGGTCGGTGGGGGCCGTGGCCGTCGGGGGCTTGTGCGGTGGGTGGGGGACTCCGTCCCCGCCGTCGCTGCCAGGGCCTCAGTTGCGGGTCACCCATCGTATGACCGCGTCCTTCCTGCAGCCGGCCGGGACGTCCGGGCGCCTTGGGGACTGCGCCTGGGTTTAACTGCTCTGAGGGCCCTAGTGGCCTCCTGCTCTTGGCTTCGTTTCCCAGGGTTTGGTCACGGAGGCCGTGTTTACACAATGGCCTGTTCCGGGACTGGGACACACAGGCCACCAGGTGTGTCGGGCAAAGGGCAGGCCCTCCCTGCAACTGGGGTGGAGGTGGGGGGAGTGGATGTGGCCCCAACAGGGCAGCAGGAGGGGTCCTTGCGCGGACGGGAACATCTACGGGTCGACTGGGTCCATGTCGACGTCCTGGGTGTGACCCTGTCCTGTTGTTTTGCAAAATGTCACCATTGCGGGGGAAACTGGGTTTGGTTCTTAAACTGTATGCGAATCACAGTGATCTCAAATAAAAAAATTAATGAAAACAGGCCAGGCGCGGTGGCTCACGCCTGTAGTCCCAGCACTCTGGGAGGCCGAGGCGGGAGGATTGCTCTAGGTCAGGAGTTCGAGACCAGCCTGGGCAACATAGTGAGACCCCATCTCTACTAAAAATAGAAAGAAATTAGCTGGACAACTAAAAATATATAGAAAAAATTAGCCGGGCATGGTGGCGCATGCCTGTAGTCCCAGCTACTCGGGAGGCTGAGGCAGAAGGATCGCTTGAGCCCAGGAGTTGGAGGTTGCTGTGAGCGAGGCTGACGCCACGGCACTCTAGCCCGGGCAACAGAGCGAGACTCTGTCTCCAAAAATAAAATAAAATAGAAATAAGTTAATTAAAACAAATAACTAAGACCCGATTCCTGGCACTATCTTTTGCACCCCGCCCCGTCCATCCCGTTTGGACCGACATTGCTCCCACCAGCCGGGGACAGGGTCTGCCGGGGACACAGGAGTCCACGCTGTGGTCACGGATCCAAGGGCCAAACTTGGCTCCAGACTTTGCAGGGAGCCTCCACGGGCTGAGACTTGAAGTCTTTTCTCTTGGGGGGCGGGGCGAGGCTCTGCCGCCTTCCTAAGCCTCAGTTTCCCCATCCAGGGGACCTTGCTGGTTCCGCTTTGGTTGTAGGTGTCACAGGCCGTGACCGTTTCCCTGGCCCCCTGTGTGTGTGTGTAGGGATCCTCTAGTCTCGCCATCACTTCCTGGGGCTCAGAGAGGTTAAGGGAGTCACCCGAGGTCACACAGCAAGGGAGAGGCAGAGCCCTTCTGGGCACAGATTCTCCTCTGGTTTCCCCTCGGGAACCCACAGAGGTGCCCACAGCCGGGGCTTCCTGCTCCTGCTCACCCCGAATTCCTTCCCTTTTCCTCTATGGAAGCCTCAGCCTCCCGCCCTGTGCGTTAGAGCCCATCCTGGGATTGCCACCTCCTTCCCCCACCGCTTAGATCTCTCGTAATCCATCCATTTCCGTCATAGGGAAACCGGATTGAGCGGCGGGAGACACGATTTGCTGCGGGAAGAGCTAGAGGAGAGAAAAATCCTCTCTTAGGCGTGACACAGACACAAGCCCCGTTCCCCGGGACGCCTGAGTCCCCACGGTGTCCCCACACTGTCCCCAGGCCAGGCCGCGGGGGCTGAAGTTCCCAAACCAGAATGGATGCAAAAAAGCCGACCTCCCGTGGTCCTCCGGAGTGGAGGGTCACCCGAGTGTGACTCTGGACACAAGACAGAGCTCCCGAACGGCCACCGAAGGAAGGGACAGGCAGCTGCCGCGTTCTCCACCTTCTCACGGGCCCAGGGACGCGAGAAATACTAACAGAAGACGTTCCTGGGGTCTTGGAGGACCCCTTGATCACAGAATTGACAAACCGGATTATATCGAAGGACCGTATGAACGGAGCAAAAAGGCAGCCCACGGATTGGGAGAAAATATTCGCAAACCGCATCTGCGACTCAACGACACAAAAGCCCGACGACCCCGTTAAAAGCGGGCGACGAAGGATGTCACCAGACGTCTCCCTACAGGTGACATGCGAACGGCCAATGAGCCAAGACGCTCAAGGTCACCGGTCCCCAAGGAAACGCAAACCGCAGCCACGATCAGACGCCACCTCCTGCCCGCCTGGGGACCCCGACGGTCTCCGTAAGTCACTGACTTTCCTGCTGCCACCAGAGCGCTTGGTTTCGGGGACCGTCCTCTGCCGTGCTCAGAGCGGCTCCTCCCGGCGTCAAGAGGGGGCCGGCGCGGGTCGCAAAGCTGTTTTCCGGGGACATCTTCAGCGGCCTCGACCTCACGAGGGTCCGGCGGGGACCAGCGAACACGGAGGACGGGGACAGTCGCCGAGTTCGACCTGCCGGCCACAGCGAGCCGCTCGGGAAGTCGATTAAGTTGTTCCCGGAGGGGACTTGGCGGGCGGCCGCGTCCTGGGGACAGACGGGGGGAGGCTGAGGTTTGTCTTCAACTCTGGTGACGATCGGGCCCTTCCGAGGGACTCTGACCCCGATGTCACCGGCGACCTCTCCCGCAGCCGGAGAACCGTTGGGAATGACATTCAAGGCTTCTCTGAGCGGGACGGATCATTCCATCCCCAAAAAGCCCGTTGCTGGTTGAGGAGTCGCCGTGTCACTATGCTGATGGCGCTGATCAGGGACCCCCGAACGCGTCTGCGGATGACAAACGCCACACCGACGACGTCTTTGTTCTGGGCTTTTAGTTCCAAGAGCACTTGGCCCAAGAGCGGGGACACTTGGACTGAAATCCTTGCTGTGTGTCCTTGGGTGAGTGGCTTGCCCTCTCTGGGCCCAAGCTGTCACAGCTGCAAATAAATAGCGGTCATTTGCGGTCGAGACTGACTTCCGGGTTTTACGGTGTCACCAGGAGGGTTGTGTGGCACAGAAGGAGAGTGTCATATTGTCCAGCTGCCCAAGGAAGCCCAGAAAGCCAGAGTCCCAGGCCTCCAGTGACTTCGAACTCCCAAGGCAAGCGGGGAAACTGAGGCAGAAGAGTGGCAAACTGAAGATCATTCTGGTGTCTTCTAGATGCTTCCTATCCACCGGCTACAAGCCTGCAGGGGGCTCCTTCCCCCATCCCCCCCAGACAGAGCAGAGCTGAAGAACATGCCCACCCAGACTCTCAGGCTGGCCACACCAGTAGGTGACCCAGGTGGGTCCTCTCACCTTGGGGGACTCAGTCTGCTCATCTGCAGTCTGGGTGTGGCCTCCCCCTAGGAAAAGCCTACCTGGGAATGAGGCCAAAGCAGGGGAAATGAGAGCTGGGGAGAGATAAGCGGAGAACAAGATTTTTTTCCGTCGCTTGGATCAAGCCATGCCTGAAGCCTTCCGTCTCGTTCACCGCTGAATCCCTCCTTTCGCTACGATCGCTTGGACTTTGGGTTTCTGTCGCCCGCCACCGGGAGGCGTGAAGGGCACACACGCGACTTCTCTGGGGAGCCCCTCTGCGTGTTCAGGACACGGCTCGGGCGTCACCATCCACGTCCCCTCCCGTGTCACCCGAACGCGGAGCCAGCGACGTCTCCGGCTTCTTCCCATCCCCGGCCCCAGACCGCCCACCCCCGACGCCGTCAGAAAGCCGCTCACCTCCGTCTTGTTCCGGGAGAGCACGCTGGAGTCGATCGGGCCCAGGGACAGGTTCGGCAGGACGAGGTTGAGCACTTTGGCGGCCAGGACCTGGGCAGGGACGGAAAACATGGGAGCCGTGAGGACGTGGCGGGACCAACGCCCGCCCGGCTCCTCCTAAGTGACAGTTCACGGCCCGTTAAGGAGAGGGCTGAACCCCAGCCGGGCTCACTCCCCGAGACGGAGCGCTCGACTCAGCCTGGCCGAGCTCCCCGGCGGCCCGGGCGAGGAGGGCAAGTCGCGCCTGTGGATTCTCGCCCTTCCCGCCAAGCGCTCATCATGGGTGGCGGTTTTGAGTTATTTTCAGGAACTGCCCCCCGGGGCCGAGTTCTGGGACGCAGGTTCTGAAAGGACGCCAGATCTGGTCGCCGGCCCGGGTGGCAGGTCACGCACGGGGCAGAGGGCGGGAGACCCGGCTTCGGTCCCCTGCTCTGCCAATGGCGCCCACGGCGACACCCGGCGTGCTCGAGTCCCCGCCCAAGCCTTCCTCCCTGTCCCCACCTCTCCTTTCTGATCTCTTAGTTTTTTTCCCCAGGAAAACACAGCCCGGATGTCACGCTTCTGCCCGCGGCGGAGAGAGGCTCGTTCTCGGTTCCGCCGTGTGCGCAGACGCCCGGGGAGGACAGATGCCATTTCAAAAGTGAGCTGTGGGCCGGGCGCGGTGGCGCACGCCTGTCATCCCAGCACTCTGGGAGGCCGAGGCGGGAGGATCGCTCGAGGTCGGGAGTTCGAGACCGGCCTGGGCAACATAGCAAGACCCCTATCTCTACTAAAAATAGAAAGAAATTGGCTGGACAACTAAAAATACATAGAAAAAATTAGCTGGGCACGGTGGCGCGTGCCTGTAGTCCCAGCTACTCGGGAGGCTGAGGCAGGAGGCTCGCTAGAGCCCAGGAGTTGGAGACCAGCCTGGACAACATAGCAAGACCCCATCTCTACAAAAAATTTTTAAAAAATGGGTTGGACGAGGTGATGCAGCCCCTGTAGTCCCAGCTACTTGGGAGGCTGAGGCAGGAGGATCGCTTGAGCCCAGGAGTTAGAGGTCGCTGTGAGCGAGGCTGACGCCACGGCACGCTAGCCCGGGTGACAGAACTCATAAAAAAAAAAAAAGTGAGGTGTGAAACACCAAAATTAGAGTCGTATGGAAGGTGACAAGCGGTGGCTGAGTCCTCGGAGCACGTCCGGGGCGCGCAGCTCGGTACCCTTGACGGAGGGCAACCGAGGGACCCCCCTGTCCTGCTCCGTTGGGCTCAGTCTTTCCATCTGCAGGGAGAGCTGGAGGCGGGGGTGGCTTCCTCGGTCACCGGGAGGCCACTCTTGCCTTTCTTGGCGCGTGGCCTGGTGTCCTCTCTCCGTCTCTCTCTCTCTCTCTGCGGGTGCGACAGAGAATCTAACCTGTCCTCTGTCCCCGCAGCAGCCGGTGACGTTCTCCGAGGTGACTCTATCGCCGGAATTTTCCGACCTCCTTTCAGACCCGGAGCCGAAACCTGTGCTTTTCTCAGACGCCACGAGCGGGCATTGGCTGCACCCCCCGAATCTGCGACCGTGCACCCCACATGCGCTGAGAACATGCTCTCTGCACCCCGACCTTGGTGTCCGGACGAGCAAACATCATTTGCAGTGACAGCTGCCACCAAAACGTGCTTTGCCGAGCCCCGGGCTGCAAGCCCCGGCCGCCTGGCGCAGAGAGACACAGGTGACGATCTGACATCCAGCCCCGTCCCATCCCGGGGCGCGAAGTCGGTCCACCTACGGGACGCGAGACGTCAGGCGTGGAAGGAAAGGCTCGGGATTCTGGAACTCTCCACGAGGGTCTGGGTATTGGCAAACACGGGTCAAATGTCCGTGGACTCCCAGGCTGGGATCTGCGTTTGCAAAGGTTGAAACGGCTCAAATGACAACGGCAGAGAGGCCACCGGCAGTGGCCCTGTGGCCTTCGCTGGACTCCAGCTGCCTGAGAAGGACGGAGTTTGCAAAGGGGCTGGACGTGTCCTCCAGCAACGGCGGCCTGCGGGGAAAAGTCTGAGTGTCCGCCCCAGGGTCGCACTGTGGGAGGCTGAGGCAGGAGGCTCGCTTGAGCCCAGGAGTTGGAGACCAGCCAGGACAACATAGCAAGACCCCATCTGTACAAAAAAAATTTTAAAAAATGGGCTGGGCATGGTGATGCAGCCCCTGTAGTCCCAGCTACTCGGGAGGCTGAGGCAGGAGGCTCGCTTGAGCCCAGGAATTGGAGACCAGCCTGGACAATATAGCAAGACCCCATCTCTACAAAGCATTTTTAAAAAATGGGCTGGGTGAGGTGATGCAGCCCCTGTAGTCCCAGCTACTCGGGAGGCTGAGGCGGGAGGATCGCTTGAGCCCAGGAGTTGGAGGTTGCTGTGAGCTAGGATGACGCCACGGCTCTCACTCTAGCCCGGGCAACAGA